CCCGAACACACTTTTTGAGCTCGAAATAAAACCGAGCCGAACACGAATTGAGCATGGCTCGCTCGTGTTCGGCTTGTTTACATCCCTACATAGAATTAACCCAAAAAATTAGAGAGCCTTGTACTTAGGCACTGTAAAATGGGCATCACAATGTGTCCATCCCATGAAATTCAATTCTGAAATCATTTTAGACACAGATGAGTTATTTATCGGTATGGCATTAGGATTTACTTTAGTTGGATTTTTGTTGACTCTAATATTTGACTGTAAGGAGCCTGATATGAGACTTGGACCTATTTTGTGTGTGTGTAGAGAGTGAGTATAAGTTTAAGTAGAGATTGAAACTTGAGAGAAGTGGTGTAAAGGACCCTAACACAAGCGAGCTCAAGCTTAATTCATGTTCGTATCTTTAAAAAATATCACTGTTCATGTTCATCTTGTTTATATTTCGAACACAGAAAGTGTGTTCGTGTTCGGTTTGTTTTCTTAGCGAGTCGAACACAAGTTGTTCGCGAACAAAGAGGCATTTTGACAAAGTTTAATCACGCATCCGCTAGATGTTAAGAGTTAGGGCAAGATTTAAATCCTATTGTTTATATTAAAACATCATTTAAATATAATTTGATATATTTTTATTCAATTTTTTAAAATAATAATTTCAATTGATTGTAAATCTTTATAGCCTGGTAGTCGATTAATTTTTTTTAAAAAAAAAAACTACTCATCAATATATATATATATATGCGGAACACGAATAAACAAATCTTTGCTTATGTTCGACTCTTTTATATATCAAACACAAAAAAAAAAGTGTTTGTGTACGACTCGTTAACTTAGCGAACGAATCAAACACGAGCTTTTTGACGAGCCGAACATGACCTGTTCGCTAACAACGAGCCATTTTGACAGTCCTACTTGAGAGTGAAAGAGAGAGAAGATAGCACTAAGGAGGAAAAAAATAATTAAAAGAGAGGAAAAAAATTCATTAGAGTAGCAAGAAATCAAAGGAATCCTTTTATTTTGTTTTCATTCTTCATTTTCCTGTAATACAAGCTAGTAAACTATGCTTCATTTGAATATTCCATGAACAAATATAATTATCTGAATTTATTGTATAGTCAAGACTACTTAATGATTTTACATACATACCACCAATCAATTCTTATGTATCCACAAATCTAACTTTTAAATTTCAGTTTTTTACAAATATATCTCATCTAGGGCTGTCAAAACGGCACGTTGTTCGCGAACAGCTCGTGTTCGGCTTGTTAAGAAGCTCATGTTCAGCTCGTTTTGGCTCGAATACTACTCGTCAAGTTTATATATATATATATATATATAAAGTAGTAGTATTTTAAAAAAATTTAATTGACTACAAGGCTACAAAGACTCATAATCAATTAAAATATTGATTAAGAAAATAGAATAAAAATTATTAAATTAGATTCAAATGATGTTTTAATATAAATAATAAATTTTAAATCTTGCTCAAACCCTTATTATCTTATGACTACAGTATTAGGGTTGTTAAAAGGATTTTTTGTTCGTGAACAGCTCATGTTCGGCTCGTTAAGCAAACGAGCCGAACACGAACATAATTTTTGAGCTCGAAATATAAACTAGCCGAACACAAGCTGAGCATACACCCCTAATCTCATCTTATCTATTATTCTTTTCACTTTTTTTCAGTGTTGAAATGGGAAACTTCTGTACTTGCTTTGGAAATTTCTGTACTTGCTTTGGAAATTCTGCATTTGCTTTGGAAATTTCTGTACTTATGAAATATTTTTAGTGAGAATGACATAATGTTATGAATTTCATTCTGCCTAGTTTGTGTTATTAAAGACATGGGTGATGTGAGTGAATGGGCTTACAAGAGAATAGAGATGGAGTTTCTCTACTATGTGCTCTTTCTTGACTCATTACTCATCCTCTTCGTCACTCTGAAGGTTATGAATTCAAAGGAGCACATAAAAGGAGGAGGCAAGGATGCCCCGGGGCCATGGAATCTCCCCATCCTCGGAAGTCTCCACCTTTTATTCGACCGGCGACCTCCTCATCGGACATTTCACGACCTCTCCGCGGTCTACGGCCCCATCATGCGCCTGAAACTTGGCGGCATCTCTGTCGTAATCATTTCCTCCACAAATGCCGCTAGAGAAATCATGAAGACCCATGACATTGATTTCGCTACGTGCCCTCTCAACGACTCAATTCGTGCTATCTTTCATGGCACCAACAGTATAACATTCGGCCCTTGCAATGAATTTTGGAGCTAGATGCGTCGACTATGCAGCATGGAGTTGCTTAGCATGACACGTGTTTGTTCCTTCAGGGTGATAAGAGAGGACGAGACCACTCATCTTATCAAACTCATAGCGGCTTCATCGGGCGTTGTTGTCAATCTCAGCAGCAAGATGCTTGAGACCACCAATAACATCATAGCTCGAGCCGCCATTGGCGATCGGTGCAATGACCAAAAGGTCTTTTTATCGGCGGTTGACGATGCAGAGGAGATTTTGTCGGGATTCACCATCATGGATTTGTTCCCATGGATGCCATTCTTAGGTTTGCATATAAGTAGCCTCTTAGGTTTTTATTTGTTAAAATATTATAGCAAGTAATAATTTGTTAATTACATACATAAAACCCGCAATGGTTTAATACTTAATGATATATGTTCATAAGTTTAATCTAAGTGCATTATAAACTTATTTTTTCAATCGTTAAGTAGAAAAGTTCATTGAATTTCTACCCCAGGTCGTATTACCGGATTTATACAAAGATTGAAGCGATGTCAGAATAACTTGGATCTGACGGCTGGAAGGATTATTGAAGAACACAAGAGGAAGATGGCTAAACACTTTTCTAACAATGATAGCGAGCATTTGATGGAAGAGGATCTCATTGACGTTCTTTTGAGAGTTCAACAGGAAGAAAGTCTACCATTCACACTCTGAAACGACAACATCAAGGCTGTAATCAATGTATGTGAGATACTTAGCTAGGACTTCAATCATCTCTGTGCTTGTTGCACGTTTCTTAATGTAACTGAATATTTAATTCACTAGGACATACTCATGGTTGGAAGCAGGACTACTTCAACAACCTTGGAATGGGCAATGTCAGAGCTGGTTCAAAATCCCACTGTTCTGGAAAAGGCACAGAGGGAAGTCAGAGAAGTCATTGGCCACAATGGCGGGCTAGAAAAGTTGGCAAGTGAGAAGTTGATAAGTGGTAGGCTAACATACTTGCAATTAGTGATCAAGGGGACGCTAAGACTGCACCCTCTAGGGCCACTACTACTACCCCGATAAAATCTTGAAAACAAGGAGATTATGGGCTATGAAATATCAGCCAAGACGAAGGTGATGATTAACATGTGGGCGATAGGAAGGGAAGAAAAATATTGGGGTGATCCTGAAAAGTTTTGACCTGAGAGGTTCGAGCAAAATCCTATTGACTTCAAAGGAGCGCACTTTGAATATGTGCCATTTGGTGCAGGAAGGCGAATATGTTCTGGGATGCAATTTGCATTATTCACGTTGGAGATAGTTTTGGCACATTTGCTCTACTATTTTGACTGGGAGTTTCTAGAGAAGGAAGGGGAGAAACTCGACATGAGTGAAGCTTCTGGTGTTGTATTAAACAGGAAATCACCTCTTTGTTTGGTTCCCACTCTTCGATTTCCCATCCAATCAGCATGATTATAGCCTTTATGAGTGATTTTATGCAACTTCATGTGTTGTCTGAAGATTTGACAAAGTGGAACATAATGATACATTTGTAAGTGGAAATAGAAATGAGGCAACTTATTTCTTTTTCATTGTTCTAAATGTTGTTATGTTGAATAATAAAGTTTAATGGGTCCATATTATTATCCATAGAACAAAATGAATAGATATATTTTGTTTAAGAAATGAGAGAGAAAACAAGGTGACATAACATATGAAAGTCATATGAATATAAAGTATAAACATCAGCACTCAATGTACATGTACACCAAAAAAGTTATGCATGAATCTCAAGACAATCTAATGCTTCAGATAAAATGATAAATGACAAAAAAAAAATGCTAAGCATCAGTTATAAATATAAAAAAGCACCATAAAGATCATTAACTTTCCTATTCAACTGGAGACTACAAAAAGACATCATTAAGATTTATAACTCCTCTATTAAAATGCAACATTAACTAAAACATAATAATAACCTATAATTCCTCCATTAAAGTAGGGCAAACATGTAATTTTAGACTTGGTTCTTTTTTCTCTATCAAAGCAAAACTTCATGCTCCCTCCAATCTCAAATCAGAAAAGAACTTTCAAATGGCTTCCATCTTTGGATGAGAGATGGTAATTTTCCAAACAAAGTGAGTTTAAAGGGGTCAACTAGCTGAAATGAATCATTATAAAAAATAAAGCCGATTTCCCATTTGGCTACTGCTACTGCCTTGCTAAGTTTCTTTTGGCCATGTCTGTGAATTTTTGTTTTAGTACATCATGGTGGCGTTTGTTTTGGTGGTCATTTAAGTGGCCATTGTGTTGAAAGCTTTATCTTGTTTTACTCAAGTTGTTGTTCTACCAGTTTGAGTTTCACGAGTTGTTTTACAATTACTCTGGATTTTACTGTACTTAATGATGGATAAACCCTCTTACTTGGAACTGTTGGAAGGGGCCAACAATAACTTTAAGCAACTTAATCAATCCTTTAAACCAGATGTAGCTCAAAATTTCTTCCCTCAATAATTCATGAGAGGTTAGAATCAGCTGAGAACTCTATCTTCATTAAAAAGGCAACAAAGAAAAACGGGAAACCAGCTTTTTTTTCTCCGATAATGAGTCATCTCAGCTAGGTGACCCTTCAAATTCACTTTGGTCGGAAAATTTATCTGCTCTCATCCAAAGATGGAAGTCATTCGAAAGTTCTTTTCTGATTTGAAACTAGATGGAGCTTGGAGTGTTGGTTTAATAGATGGCATGCACATTATTTAAAATTTATGTAAATTAGAAATAAATTAATTGTATTTTTTTACTTGTATTTATATAAAATTTTAAATTTATAAGATCCATCTTCATTGAATTAGCATACGAAGGTGACCATTAATAATTAAATTGGTGAAAAATTTATGTATCTTATAAGTCATTTTTTTTTGGTAAATAGAAGCTAAGAAAATGACTTAAAAATTAATAGAAAATGATTTAGAAAATATTTTGTTGAACATGGTGAAAAAAAAAGTAGGTATTATAACATATTTTTGTTAATAGTGATTTTCAAGTATGAGGATTGGCTAGATGTGGATGTAGTCCTTAGATTTGGTTTGGGCAAAACCACATAAACCAAATCACATAACAAATTTTTTATGTATATTTACTTTCTTAGACTTGTGATTGTGATTATCTGATTATCTCATTCTATTTTATTTTATTTATTCTTGTATTCTTTTCTTATTGTGTCATTATGAGTAATTGAAATTGAATTATATAACGTTTTAAAATTATTCAATTTTTAATTTTTAGACTCCATTATATATTTTCTTAATCAACCCATTCATCCACACTCTAATGTGCCATAATCACTCCTTAATTATTATCAAATCCTTGGCTCATTTTTCAGCTTCACATTAAAGAGTATATCATATTACACACACTATGAAATAATATATTCATAAGGATTCATTTCCAAATTGACAATCCATACATAAAAATCTATAATTAGATAATATACCATTTAGTCATTAAAAAAATTTTAGTAGATTATTTAAATAAAGTCTCACAAGTATGACATATATTAATCATCAATATTATATACCTAGTGTTGATGTAAATGAGATAAAACTTAAAAACCTTTTGATGAATGAATTTAAGTTATAAGAAAAATTAGATGTTATTAATGCAAGAGCTTTTAACACAATGCATAGTATCTTATTGCTAAATGACTATATGAGAATCTTCATTTTAAACACTACAAATGAGATACAAGATAAACTGATTATCACTCATGAATGTACTAAAAAGATGAAAAATGCACACATCAATTTGCTAGTATATAAGTATGAGTTATTCCCCATGTTAGCTAGTGAGTCCATTTCATACGCTTATACTAAGTTCTTGAAAATTATTAATACATCAAATTCTTCCGGTGGTTTAGTCCATAGATTTTCAGTAAATACTTTTTTCGATGGTCTCTTATTCATCTCCAACAGTTTCATCTGTCGGTTCATATCAACTTATAAACTGATGGGTTCTAACATCAAAACATTCACGAATCACTTCTCACATTATAAAACCAATAGTTATTTCGTAATAACTGACAGTTGTGGTTATCGGTTATTAACTTATATAAATTGACAATTTAGTAATATCCGAAAGCTGTCGGAAAAGCTCTTTGCACACAACTGACATTGAAAGTCCTCATTTCATTTTCTCAAGCACGCTCAATCTCTGAAAACTCCATCAAATATTTGTGGCTCAATTCGTCAACGCTAAAAAAATACAAAAGTTCTGTCAAGTTTTGTTGAAGATTCAATAGGCACCTTCTAAAGGCCTGAGAAGTTCTATCACTTGATTCCAACAAAAAAAATATTGGACATCAGAGATCTCGAGCCTGCCGTCCATCATACAGCATTGGTCCAAGGTCTTTGTATATGCCCATTTACATATGAGTTTGGCTCGCAAGGGCAAATGAATAATAATAATAATAATAATAATAATAATAATAAACTAAACTTTTAGCAATGGATAGTGACCATATTTATGCTTAATAATCCAACTCTTTGTTAAATCCAAGATTAGCCACAAAGAGATTATAAAGGAGGCATGATTTTCCTCAATCCTCCTTAATATAATTTACTCTATTGAGAGTGTTGATGGCAGAAGTTTAGAAGCCATCTAAAATTAGAAATTCCTTAACAGAACTTCACCAATAAAAAACGTCAGTTCCTATTGCAACCCCCAACAGATTGTGCTTATGAACATAACAATGGGCATGATATTGAAGAATGCTAGAATGCTATCATCTTTGAAATTTGATCAAACAATTAATCTAAGTTAAAAAATTGAAAGAGTTCGTAGTGCTGAAAGCTTAACACGTGTCGACAAGGCAAAACACCTCCCAAACTTACTTCCGATGAACCTGTTCCAGCCTGACTATACATGTCGACTAAGTTATACCCGCCATTTTCATCGATGATGAACTTGAAGCCTCACGATATTCGATGTTGAAATGATTGAAGCTAGGAGAAGTCACTTCTATTAACCTAGTTAGATATATTATTCAAAGTCATATGTCTATCACCTTTACACAAGCTGATCGGGCCGATGGACGCAACCCTTTTAATGATGTTATCCTCATAATCACAGTGATAGACAAACATCAACTTGGAAACATACTGATATCAACATCCTCTTCTAAAAAGTTTTCAAGAAAATGAATATGACAATCGCTCAACTTACACACTTTCAGTCCTCTGTACGGATTTACAATCAATATTGATATGTTAAAAGTCAGGAAAAATTTATTTGGCGGTAAATAAATATAAATTTTCAAAAGTATTTATTAAAAAAAAATGTTAGTAGATTCTTTAAATCAAGTCTCACAAGTATGAGAGGGATAAAACTTAAAAACCTTTTGATGAAGGAATTAAAGTTATAAGAAAAACTAGATGTTATTAATGCAAGTGCTTTTAACACAATGCATAGTATCTTATTGCTAAATGACTATATGAGAATCTTCATTTTAAACACTACAAATGAGATACAAGATAAACTGATTATCACTCATGAATGTACTAAAAAGATGAAAAATGCACACATCAATTTGCTAGTATATAAGTATGAGTTATTCCCCATGTTAGCTAGTGAGTCCATTTCATACGCTTATACTAAGTTCTTGAAAATTATTAATACATCAAATTCTTCCGGTGGTTTAGTCCATAGATTTTCAGTAAATACTTTTTTCGATGGTCTCTTATTCATCTCCAACAGTTTCATCTGTCGGTTCATATCAACTTATAAACTGATGGGTTCTAACATCAAAACATTCACGAATCACTTCTCACATTATAAAACCAATAGTTATTTCGTAATAACTGACAGTTGTGGTTATCGGTTATTAACTTATATAAATTGACAATTTAGTAATATCCGAAAGCTGTCGGAAAAGCTCTTTGCACACAACTGACATTGAAAGTCCTCATTTCATTTTCTCAAGCACGCTCAATCTCTGAAAACTCCATCAAATATTTGTGGCTCAATTCGTCAACGCTAAAAAAATACAAAAGTTCTGTCAAGTTTTGTTGAAGATTCAATAGGCACCTTCTAAAGGCCTTAAAAGTTCTATCACTTGATTCCAACAAAAAAATTATCGGACATCAGAGATCTCGAGCCTGCCGTTGCTCATACAACATTGATGTTCTTTGTAAATGCCCATTTAGATATGAGCTTGGCTCGCAAGGGCAAATAAATAATAATAATAATAAACTAAACTTTTAGCAATGGCTACTGACCATATTTATGCTTAATAATACAACTCTTTGTTAAATCCCTCTAGAGCTGGAGAGTTGGAGGATAGATTCCAGAAAAGTTCTTTTTGTGGACACCAAGTATCTAGAAACTAATTTGTTCATAGAGTTCATCACAATCCTATAGGAATACATTCTCAATAGCAGTAACTGGAGCATCGACATCCAACATTAGCCACAAAGAGACTATAAAGGAGGCATGGTTCTCCTCAATCCTCCCTAATAGAATTTACTCTATTGAGAGTGTTGATGGCAGAAGTTTAGAAGCCATCTAAAATTAGAAATTCCTTAACAGAACTTCACCAATAAAAAACGTCAGTTCCTATTGCAACCCCCAACAGATTGTGCTTATGAACATAACAATGGGCATGATATTGAAGAATGCTAGAATGCTATCATCTTTGAAATTTGATCAAACAATTAATCTAAGTTAAAAAATTGAAAGAGTTTGTAGTGCTGAAAGCTTAACATCTGTCGACAAGGCAAAACACCTCCCAAAGTTACTTCCGATGAACCTGTTCCAGCCTAATTATACATGTCGACTAAGTTATACCCGTCATTTTCATCAATGAAGAACTTGAAGCCTCACGATGTTCGATGTTGAAATGATTGAAGCTAGGAGAATTCACTTCTGTTAATCTAGTTAGATATATTATTCAAAGTCATATGTCTATCACCTTTACACAAGTTGATCGGGCCGATGGACGGAACCCTTTTACTGATGTTATCATCATAACCGCAGTGATAGACAAACATCAAATTGGAAACATACTAATATCAACATCCTCTTCTAAAAAGTTTCCAAGAAAATGAATATGACAATTGCTCAACTTACACACTTTCAGTCATTTGTTCGGATTTACAATCAATATTAATATGTTAAAAGTCAGGAAATATTTTTTTGGCGGTAAATAAATATAAATTTTCAAAAGTATTATTTTAATGAGACTCTTACATACGAACCGCCCAAAATATTTAATATTATATTATAATCACTGAATTTTAAATAAATATTTTAACTATTCAAAATTTTAAATATAAAATTTTAATCATTTCAAAGCTTTACTCAAAACTTTGAGTTAATTTAGAAGGATATTTGTAATGACAAAAGTGGTTAATATTATATTTAAAATTTTTTTGATTAAAATATTATATTATATATTTTATTTTATTTTGTAGAATTTAGGTTTAGATTGTAAATTTTAGGTTGCCCGACTTAGGGCTATCAAAACGGCTCGTTGTTCGCAAACAACTCGTGTTCGGCTCGTTAAGAAGCTCGCAGCTCGCGTTTAACTCGTTAGCTAAGTTAACGAGCCGAACACGATCAACACGAACCAACATTTGTTCGTTCGTGTTCGACTCGTTTTGACTCAAAATATTACTAATCAATTATATATATATCTTTGATGAGTAGTATTTAAAAAAAAAATTAATTGAGTACAAGACTACAAAAATTTATAATCAATTAAAAGAATTAATTAAGAAGATAAAATAAAATGATTAAATTAGATTCAAATGACGTTTTAATATAAACAATTATTATGTGATTAGTGTTGTCGAAATGACTTTTTGTTCGTGAACAACTTGTGTTCGGCTCGCTAAACAAACGAGCCAAATACGAACACACTTTTGAGCTCAAATGATCGTTTAAGATATTTAAGGTTCCCAAAGAAACCATCTATATAACTTACCCTGTCGTCGTATGGTTTCTCTCCATCCCTAAATTTTATCCGGTTCATACTCGGCGCGAGAGGAAGGGAGCCACTCTCTTCTTCTTCAGTCTCTCCTCCGCTCCCATCTCCTTCGCGCCGCAAAACCCTAATCTCACTGTACTTCGCGCTCGCTCCTCGCCTCTCGCTATTCCTGCCTCAGCTGATCATAATGCCATTCTTCACCAACGGTGTGCAGTTCCTTTCCTCTCCGCGAAGGTGCTACGCACCGCAGCGCCAACTATCCCCGTCGAAGAAGAGCTCCTAGACATATCTAAAATTGGCATATCGGAACAGATCGTTACTGCTCTCTCTCGCCGGGGTATCACTGAGCTGTTCCCCATTCAGGTCACTTCCTTAAGCTTATGCTGAATTGTTTTCTTCGAGTAGTTTGGCGCAGTATAATTTGTTATCTAGTTTGTTATTGAATGAGGTTGAAATTGGCTTATTATCGTATGCGAATGTGCATGTTTATTTTGTTATTGATTTGTGTCTTCAGCTTTCTCTAACTCCTAGAGTGAGAAGCTGTGAACGCACAGCTAGAGCATTTGGGAGTTGCTTATGGATGGAATCTACTATGATTGTTATTTTTTAATATTTTGAACGCTTCCTCAGAGGTATTTCATATGGAGGGAAGTGAATTACTTAAGATTTTGTTGATGAGGGTTGATGGTGAACTAGATTTGGTTGGTATGGAGAAGTTTGTATGACTGATCGTTGTCTGCTTCTTAATGGCCAAGTATGAAAAACTGGCGCTCAGAACATTGTCTCCCAAATCGTCTAACTGTTTTTTTTTTTTTTAATTTTTTTTTTTGTTGCTCCCTTAAATCCACGAACTTCTAGGATTCTCCTGGTTGATAAATCATGTAACCAGGAAATCAGACGTAGCATATTGTGAGCTAGAGTTACCACTGTTAAATATTTACATGAGGAGAGTTTTATAGTATATCATTTCTGCACAGATGTGCATTTTACTTTGCGAAACTTACATTTAAAAATCACTGCTAAAGTGCCTTTTATGATTGTAGAGAGCTGTCTTGGAACCTGCGTTGGAAGGCCGTGATATGATTGGAAGGGCTATCACTGGATCAGGAAAAACTCTTGCGTTTGGCATTCCCATATTGGATAAAATTATCCGGGATCAAAATCAAAGCTGGTTAGTTTTTTTCTTCATGCTTTTTTATTGCTATGTCTGCTCCAAAGAGTTTGAGTTCTCATTGAAATACTTAAGATCTCTGATTGATCATTCTCTAACAATTTTAGAGAAATTTATGTGTTTAATCCCTGTTTGTTCGTGAATCACACTCAAAGAATAAAGTGTATGACATGAGAAAGAGAGAGAGAGAGAGAGCGAGAGCGAGAAAGAGAAAGAGAAAGAGAGAGAGTTGAACAATAATATAAAATGTTGATTAGACATTTCTCATAAAATGATCCCCATATATAGATGAGGGAGGGGGGGGGGTACAATATGTGTAATTACATGCTTGCTCCTGCTTTAATGGGGGTGTTATAAGATATTTTGAATATTTTATAGATATAATCGTACAATTGACAAATATCTCTCAGTCGGCTATGTTGGGTAGAAATTTTTAGTCGACCCTAGATCGACTTTGGGTCGACAAGATTTGGCTCAGTCAGCTCGATTTCGTTTGCCATCTATCCCGCTCCGGTTGTTTTCTTCTGATCCCTAGATGAGGAGCTTCGGTTGACGGGATGAGGTTATGCTATTGGGCAGTAGGTGAATCCCCTTAATTTGATAGGTAACTCATACCTAAATAACAGGTCCTTGAGGATGTTCTTGGATCTTGTCATTACCAATATTTGGCTCTCCTTGAAGAATCTCAGAAAGCGTCCGTGAGGTGGTTGATGATGCTGAACTTTTCTCTTGAATTGGGTTTGGTGAGAGGTACGTCAATGACTTTGTTTGATTCGATTGACTTCAACCTTTGGCCTGGATGGCTTGCATCGGGTGGGTCTCTTTTTTAATGGGGCTGCGCCTAGTCAAACATGTCCCTTGGTCTTATCCCAGCGGGTCCTTTTGATCTTATGCCAGCTGTTTTTTTGGTTCCGCTGACGGGCCTTTCTAGCAACACTTCTTTGTCTCTTAGCCCGTTGGATCTCTTCGTGATTCGTGCTAACGTGTTTCTGATGTATATATTTTAGCTTACTGATTCTCTTACCTTTTGCAAGTGACAATTGTGATAAAAATTAGAATAATAAATGAAAAAAGTAGATTTATTTATTTCATATTTATTACTTTAATAGTTGCAGTTCGTGGATATTCGTTCCCAGATTGCTATAAATTTGGCATGATTGACACCTTCATTATTTACTTGTTCTTTCATCTTTGTGTTTTGGTAGGTCACCTTTTAGAGCTTATTCATGGCAAGCGACAGGAAACTTTTGGATCTTATGCCAAGTGAGGATATTATAAGGGCCTTTGGACTGCCCACTCTGTGGGCTCAGCCTGAGGCGTAGAAGAAACCAAAGAGTGAGAAGAGATCCGAGGGGAAGAAGAGGCCGGTAGAGGACGTTGGCCATAGGGAAAAAGGCGGACGAAGCAACTTGCCTGCTAGGAGTGGAGGGGGAGAACGAGCCGACGAATGAAGTAGGGTTGTCCGACTCACTTCAAGGCCTTCTACAAAGGAAAGAGCGGGCGAAAGGAAGGAGGTTGGGTGGCTCAACTGTTGGCACATCGACATAGCTTCCGACCACGACTCATGACCAATCAACCGCTCT